GGTGACAGGTTCATGGGATTGCTTCAGACATTTGAGAGGGGGCTCCAGTAGATTGCATTGAGCAGAAGCCAGGGAGCTGTATGCTTCAGCCACCATGTGGGGGCATGAATCCACCATTAACTTCCAGCTTGCGCTCTGAGAGACCTCGGAAGCATGAGCAGTAATAAAATTCAGCACCTGTGTTTTCAGCTGCCCCTTGCTGTGGAGGTCAGCCAGGAAGAGAGTGTGGGCAGCATTCTCCACAGAGAGGTCCCTGCAGAGGGCACTCTCGCACATGACCTTCAAGCTTCACCGACCAGAAAGTGGCATCACACACCTTTAATCCAAGTAGCCAAACTAGTTTGGCATAGAAACTGGGCGGAGTGGTACACGCCCTTAATCCCCGCCCTAGAGAGGTTATATAAGACAGGAGGAGGCAGCTCTCAGCCAGTCTCATTCTGAGAGTTCCTGGAGGCAGGATCGCCACCACACTCGGACCGAAGGAGAGGAACAGCAGAAAGTCTGCAAATCTGCAGGCTTGGCTTGCATATTGGATTGCTGTTTATTCGCCGGACGGCTTTTGTTTTCTTGGCTTACACATGCCAAATAACTCTTATGTTAGCAACAGACTCAAGAAAAAGACTGAAATTTTTCATCTTGAAAAGTTTTAAGCCAGGGCTTTTGCGGTGAACATCTTTAATCTCAACATTTAGGAGGCCAGGACAGGCGTATCTCTGTGAGTTGGAGGGCATCCTGGTCTTCATGGACCGGGCCCTGACTCAAAAAATAAAGAGCAAAACAAAATTGTAGAGTGTAAGAAAATACAATATTCAGAAAAAGTATTTGTCAAATACCAAAGAAACCTGAGACATGAGAATCTCATCATAAATAATAATTTTATTTTAAAATTAAATTTATTCTTAGCAGTATCTGGCAGAGCTAGGTGGGAAGCAGTGCTGTGTTCCTTGGGCTTCGCTGTTGGGACTTTATCAAGCTTTGGGAGTCTCCACTGCAGCCGTCACCATGTCGGTCCTAAGGGCACTCATGAAGCAACCGCCTATTCAGTCTACGGCTGGGGCCGTCCCAGTTCGCAATGAGAAAGGTGAGATTTCAATGGAAAAAGTAAAGGTAAAACGTTATGTCTCTGGAAAGAGGCCAGATTATGCCCCTATGGAGTCCTCAGATGAAGAGGATGAAGAATTTCAATTCATTAAGAAAGCTAAGGAATAAGAGGCAGAGCCTGAGGAACAGGAAGAGGATTCGTCCAGTGACCCCCGACTTCTGCGTTTACAGAACCGCATCAGTGAGGATGTAGAAGAGAGATTGGCTCGACACCGGAAAATAGTGGAACCTGAAGTGGTAGGAGAAAGTGACTCAGAAGTAGAAGGAGATGCCTGGCGCATGGAACGAGAAGATAGCAGTGAAGAAGAGGAGGAGGAAATCGATGATGAGGAAATAGAGCTGCGCCGTGGCATGATGCGTCAGCGAGCACAGGAGAGGAAAAATGAAGAGATGGAAGTCATGGAATTGGAAGATGAAGGACGCTCTGGGGAGGAGTCAGAGTCTGAGTATGAGGAGTACACGGACAGTGAAGACGAAATGGAGCCTCGACTTAAGCCTGTCTTCATACGAAAGAAGGACCGAGTGACAGTTCAAGAACGAGAAGCTGAAGCGTTAAGACAGAAGGAACTAGAGCAGGAAGCAAAACGCATGGCTGAGGAGCGGCGCAAGTACACACTAAAGATTGTAGAAGAAGAGACCAAAAAAGAGCTGGAGGAGAACAAGCGGTCTCTCGCTGCCCTGGATGCACTCAATTCTGACGACGAAAATGATGAGGAGGAATACGAGGCATGGAAAGTCCGAGAGCTCAAGAGAATCAAGAGGGACAGAGAAGACCGAGAAGCACTTGAAAAGGAGAAAGCAGATATTGAACGCATGCGAAACCTGACTGAGGAAGAAAGGTGGGCTGAACTTCGGGCAAATGGCAAAGTAATTACCAACAAAGCTGTTAAGGGCAAATACAAGTTTTTGCAAAGGTATTATCACCGGGGTGCCTTCTTCATGGATGAGGATGAAGAGGTCTACAAGAGGGATTTTAGTGCACCTACTCTTGAGGACCATTTCAACAAAACCATTCTTCCAAAAGTCATGCAAGTCAAGAATTTTGGACGGTCTGGTCGTGCCAAGTACACCCACCTTGTGGATCAAGATACCACTTCCGTTGACTCTGCATGGGGCCAAGAGAGTGCCCAGAACACAAAGTTCTTTAAACAGAAGGTAACTGGGGTACGTGATGTATTTGAG